GTGTGGGGTAGCTTGGGAAGAAAACATCCCCTTAAATCAATTAGTTTTCTATAGAAGAACAGATGATGTTCCACTGTCTCTGAGGGGTAGTCACTGCTTTACTCCAATTCGGTTGAGAGAAGGTACGGATGAGAAGCCAGTTTGTCATTAGTTTACAGGAGTGGAGGGTTTTTTAACGTGGGTGGTTGATGGGTGCTCTGGTGTGGTTTGTTTCTTCTTTCCTATCAAACATCTATCGTCCGTGTCTCCCTTTCTTCTTTTTTATGTTTGTTACTCTCTTGTAACACCTCTCATCTTCTGGCGCTCATATGACATTATGCAGTTGCGAGTGCCGTAAAACCTTTACTGAAACTAAACCATTCCTCCCACTCACCCCCTTGTTGCTGCCTGACTTGTCGTCACAGGTGATGTTAGCGGCATCCGAGGGCGCGCCAACGCCAACCTGGTGGACCTGAACCGCAACTTCCCTGGCCTCTTCCACAACACGTCAGTCAATGAGAGGCAGGAGCCCGAGACTCTGGCGGTGATGCGCTGGAGCCGCTCGCTCCCGTTCGTCCTCTCGGCCAACCTGCACGGCGGCTCCCTCGTCGCCAACTACCCATACGACGACTTTGAGCAGGAGACGGGACACGGGGCGTTTTCTCCCTCGCCCGACAACGCTGTGTTCAAACAGCTGGCCGAGGCCTACTCTCTGGTACCTGTCCTTGTCCCTAAATGTGATGCGTGCTGACAAAATGAGTTCCTTCTTGCAATCCGTATATGGAGATATCGGCCGAAAATCAACACAAAGGTTCTATTTATAGACCCGAAACCAAAGCCATTCTCTTCAAGCTTAACATGTCTTGTAAAAACTCAACCCATACATTTGACGTATCTATTTCCATCAGGCTAAAATCTGAGAGTTACGAGAACTCATTTTGTCAGCACGCCTCACAAATGTGTTGTGTGTATCACGACTGGCTTTTTTCATGAAGCAGTTAGGGACTTGGCTGAAGCACACAGTTGACCCGAGTATGTTTCCCAGGCGGGGAGGATTTTTATCTAGTATCTCGGTCTTTCTGCAGGGATTTTTATATCCATCTCAGCTTGGGTTGGTGTTGAAAAGCAAGGTCGAAGCCCACTCCTAAATGATCTAAATTGTTTTGATTGGGTCGTAAAGACACCTACATGTTAAAAAGTTGTATCATGTCTGCCGCTGTGAAGGACTCTATTTGTGGTAAAGATAGATTGTAAGTTATGGACAGACCAAAGATGTAAAAAAGTGTTGTAGTGACAGGTGGTGCAATAATTCCCTTTGTGGCCAACTAACCGAACCGTACAGCGACTTCGGGCAGGAGACGGGACACAGGGCGCTTTCTCCCTCGCCCGACAACGCTGTGTTCAAACAGCTGGCCGAGGCCTACTCTCTGGTACCTGTTTTTATCCCTAAATTTGTTTTGTGTATCACGTCTGGCTTTTTTCATGAAGCAGTTAGGTACTTCGTTGTAGCTCGCAGTAGACTCGAGTTTTATACTCTCTGGTACCTGTTGTTGTTCCTAAAAAGCCAGTCACAATACATACAACCAAAGTTCGTACATAACAAGATAGTTCACTCCTCTCTTTGAGCCAATTAAAAATATGTCCTCAAAATCCGGTGGCACCCTCTTAGAAAAAGTGCGGACTTTTGTGAACATAGTTTCCCTACTTGTGTGAAAAACAAAAGTGAAACTAACAAACTGTGCTATTCCTATTCTTCTTCTGGAGAAATGAAGGAGACCTTCAAAACAAAGACTGCAGCGCCATCTGAACCAATGCGCAGACTTCCACGGACACTTTTTTTGGCTGAGTGAACTATATTGCAATGAACGATCTTTGATACAACACATTTTTGATGAAGTAATTAGGGGACTCTGCTGTAGCACGCAGTAGACCCGAATTTGATTCTCAAACAGGGAGGATTTTTAGTAAAGTACCTTACCTTGGTCTTTCTGCTGGGATTTTTGTATCCATCTCAGCGTGAGTTGGTGTTGAAAAGCAGGGTCGAAGCCCACTCCTAAATGATCCTAAATTGTTTTGATTGGGTCGTAAAAATACCTATGTTTTTAAAAGTAGTATCATGTCTGCCTCTGTGAAGGACTCTATTTGTGGTAATGACGGATGACAAGTTATAGACAGACTAATACCCCCCCGGGGCGGTGCTACTGACTGAAGTGTCTTTAGGCCATTCCCAAAGGGGGGGACATTAACATCTCGAGTTCTTTTGCACAGTAGAATTGTAATTGTAAATGGGCTGATTCATCAATGTCATTCTCATAACTGTGCCTGAACTGCAACTGGGAACTGCTGCTTTTTCTTTCCTAATCCTTACTATCGTCATTTTCCCTCTACTTCTTTTGTATG